AGAATATCCTATTAAAGTGTCCAATTGGCGGTAAACAAAGCGTTGGTGGGTGATGGTGGAGCCATTGCCAGCGAATCGACAATTGCCCACTGCGAGGAATACTGAACTGCAAGCGGCAACTAAAAAGAACCAGACAAAATGGGACGATCTTCTTAGATCTGACAAGGCTTCAAAAAGACTGATGAACGAGCACAGATTTACTCGATCCGTGATCGTCTTCAATATAGTGGAATATTTAATATAGTATTTATTAAATATCTGTTATTGAAACAACGGAATTTAACAATGGTGTACAGTCCATAAGGGTTTGTTGTTTTCTTACAGTTCTGAGGAAGCTTTAATCAAGAGAATCGAACATTTGCCTTGTAGATCCACGTCTTTACGTCAGAAAATTTCTAACAATAATGGAAAGAAATCATTTTTACTCTCTGAAGATGTATCAAACATTATTTGAAACGGCGGCGGGTTATTATTGCGGAATAAAATTATTATGCCATATCATCCCACAATGAATTTTTATGATGTTGGCGAGAAAGGTAGATTCAGTTATTGTAAGCGATAGGCAAGAACAATATCATACCAGTTATCTATTTTTGAAAATAACTTCAGAAGAATATATTGGTTCTGAAAGGAAATATGTGAAACATTAAGGATTTAGAAAGAAATTGAAAAAATTGTCATTGCGTAAAATTGTTCTGCTTACTTGGTTGCGAAATGCATAAAGAAAACTGAGCTTCATTTCGAAGTCCAACGATTCGATTTATACTGATTGGATATTGATTTTTATCAGTGTAATCAATAATTAGACTTCATTTGCTGCAGAGATTCAAGGTTTGAAGGCCAGCATCGGTACTAATCCCCAAAGAAAGCATATTAGAGCACATCTTGCATCATGTCTGAATAGACAAAGATGACTGAAGAAAGGTTCCGACGATACTTGGTCGATAATATCAGGATATATGATTTTTTTCATCACTTGGATTGTCAACATTTGAACAATGCGGCGTAATAACTCAAATTTTAAAACTCCCTCAAAGGGAAGAATATTTGCTATTCCTGTTGCACTAAGGTCACGTCAAATGCACAAAGTGGTCAAAAATTATATGAATATTACTGAACCGAATTCCGTATTATCGGTTTAAATCGCGCGTTTAACATGCTCTATAGAAGAAGAAAGCAGCAACAAACGTATATCAACCGCTCTCTGAAGACGAAGGTTAGATAAGGCTAGAAAAGTCGGTAATGATTTATCATCTGACAAGCAAATAAGCTCTGTTGAGCAAAATGAAGTTGCTGTATGGACAAACAAAATCAATTTTGGTTTACGTAGCGTTAAACCACTGGGATACTGCACCTAAAGGTCGAATAGACATTTTAAACCAACGATCCATGGCATTTGGTCATCCACGGTACGAAGGCATATCGATCACTTTATTGGCCACAGAATTATCCGCTCGAAATCAAGTTTTACACGGCAGTATCTCCTGGAAGCTCATGAAATAGTATCATAAGCTGGGCTCCATTGTTAGGTCAGTAATGAGAGGACATCACCTACAGTGACAAATAAATGACCCTTCTTGGCTTATATCAGGATTCTAAGCAGTGCGAAGTTCTACTACGCTAAAATGGGGACAATCAGTGAACATCAATGTAAACGTCTTAGCCAGGTCTATACTGTTTTCTCACGATACCACGAACGAGACAGCGCAAAAATATTTACTTACATGGATCTTTACGTTTCAGAGTAGGATGGATCATGACTTTGCAGGCGGACCGAATGTATCAAGCAGTGGTGGTATAAATAAATATATATTATGGGTTTTTTTCTCGTTCGTAGCATTTTAAGGCATAATCTCTTTACTATATACATAATCTCTTTACTATATACAATCTGTACTCTTACAAACTTGAGATGCTTTCTTACCATAACTGATGAGCGCCCAACGTCAGCATTGGCTTATGTGCAATAGGGAACTTATCTCAATATTCTAGAAGGTACAGAAGTTAAACCTATGACCAATACGACAAAACATTATGGCCATGAACACAAACTTAAAAATTAGCTGGTATTTGTATCTTCTTAATGTCATTTTTAATACATGCCATTCTGTACCGGAAGGTGAAAAGTCCGATTATAAGAGAAAAAGAATCTAGTTTTACGTTCCGGTTCGTTCATATTGAACAGGCGAAGAGTTTCAATTTGCTTTTGCTGTACGCGGTAAAATCTGCGTAGTAAATGACTCACAAATCATTACACCGAGAACACGTCAAAGTCGGTTCAGACAGACAGAAGGGGGCATTTAAACAAACCACGACCACATGATGTTTGAACACCTGTGGTGCGTGGATGGACAAACAGAATCACGTTGTTCGCTCAAACGGCATGCACGTTCAGTCTGAGGTGGAAAGAAAGAAAACTTATAACTGGTCACTGAAAAGTTGGACAAGCTTAGAGGGGTCAAACTTCTCGCTTCTGCAACATATTAAAATAAGCAGTAATGGAGATCATCGAGGGCCTTCTGTATTTTAGCAGGGAGACAAACGTCATGGTTTTATGATTCTTACGTAACCGAAGTTTTTTTGTTTAAGTTCAGGCAAAGAAGCTCCGTGAGTAAAGTAGAGGAAGACAATAAACGGCGGCCGGTTTACCTGCAGAGCGCCGATGGCGGCCGACTGGAAACGGAGGTCGGTCTTGAAGTCCTGAGCTATTTCTCGAACTAGTCTTTGAAAAGGCAGTTTGCGGATGAGTAATTCGGTCGACTTCTGGTAACGACGGATTTCGCGAAGAGCGACGGTTCCTGCTCGCAAAAACCACGACGGTAAAGACAAGAGGAAGAAAAAACCGAAAAGAGGCTAAATTTACCAGGGCGGTAACGATGCGGCTTCTTGACGCCGCCGGTTGACGGGGCTGACTTGCGGGCTGCTTTAGTGGCCAGCTGTTTCCTAGGTGCCTTGCCTCCGGTGGACTTGCGAGCGGTCTGCTTGGTGCGAGCCATTTGTACTACTACTGCTTCCTAACGATTCTGAAAACAACGGAAAAGATACTTCGCCTTCGTTTCGCCAAAACCAGCACCAAACTTAAATACTTAACGATAAGTTTAAAGTTAGGTGACAAATTTAAACTATGCATAAAAAACAATAAAAACGCTGTAAAGTGACAAGAAAGTAAACTATCAAGCGCCGTGGTGCCATGGCGTCTGTCTCCAACCTCCTCAGCCGCGGTAGTCTCAGTCTTTGAACGAAATGACGAGTTTTCAAGGGGAGCTAAAAGCAAAAACTACCTCTGCGATGTCATTTGTTGCTGTAGAAGCTGAAGTTAATTCGAAACAGACATCGCTTAAATCATGGAAACTCGAAATGTGGCCAAAAGGTCAACCGAAATTCTTGAAAAACCGCTAAAC